GATACCGTATTAATGGCTCATGTAAGAGTGTCTGGAATCGAGTACCAGGCGATGTAATGTAAGTTGAATTATAGCGGAGCTCCCAGCGCGCGCAGTGTAGCCCTATTATTATACAAAATAGTAGTAGTAACCCATCAAACCGAAAAAAATTTGGACTTATGACCGTACGGGCGTCCGCACAAGGTGGTACTTTTAGCATGCACGGTCAACTGTACCGCGGGCACGCCAACGCCACGGCTTCAGTCTTGTCCAGCAGGCGTTTGAACACAACGCGTGCGCTAAACTTGTACATAACTGAGGAGACTCTGGGGTCGAAATGAGTTCAGTAGATGATACGCTACGCATGCGCAGCCGAGAGCAGTGCGGGCTCATCCTCGCAATTGTTCCATAATTATACAAAATAGAATCAGTCCTCTACACGGAAACGCACTCTATCCATAGTAGGAGCTTTACTTTTGTTGATGAGACGTGCTGGAAAAAAATGTGAGCTCCGCTTTCAGGCTTGGCTAAATCTACATATTAGACCCTCTGAGCGGACGAGTCGAAACGACGAAACGACATAACGAAATGATGAAACGCCGTGACGAAATGGCAAAACGACAAACGACAAACGACAACGAACCGATGTGGTCTGTGATGAGTCAGACTCGTAAAACGACGAGCCGAAGAGGCCAGCCGACGAAGCGAACTGACAAGACGACGAAAGGAACTCACAAAAGGCGACTCGAACTGGAAGTTCGACGAGTCGAACTCGGAAAACAACGCCCCGACTAAAAGTAACAGAGTGTGGAAACAACGAGACGAACATTTTGTCCACGATCTACCTTTACGGTATGTTAACCTTAGTTCTTTAGCGTGACCCAACTGTGTGGTACGGTGTATGGTGTACCAGGGCGATGAAACGATCGGGTCCGAGCAAAAAGGTATCATGCAGTCGACTGGGACCCACATCAACCATCCTTGGCCTTGATTGGTCGCCATTGCCTACTAAAGGAGGCGAGGCCACATTACGTATCTTGTCGAGATGAGTGGGTGAAAGAATATAGCAATATAACTCCGATCTTGACCCAGTTTTCCGAATGGATATTGATTTTTTTATTTCGAAGTATTTAGAAGTTCAACATTCGCACTCGATACACAGTTAAGTTCTCTCCTTTTGTGATTTCTGGCTTAGACTTCAGACCTTACCGTGACACTCCGAAAGACGGCAGAAAGTGATAAACATCTCACAATTATTTCAGAATTGTGCACAATTTAGAAACAAAAGTTTTCATTGTAGAAACTCGTAATAAGTGTGATCGGAGTATCATAAAATTTAGGGGGAAATGTTTTTCTTGAAGAGGGAGCATCTAATCGTTAAAATCAGCTGAGCTGTGTCGATCCGAAGATATAATCTTCTCAGCTCTTGCCGTTTCCCAATGGCATCCAAGAACACATTATTTAATCAAAACTCTTCCTCACAGAAATATCTCAATATATGTGATCGGCACATTATGGAAGCTTTGAGAATTCTTCTTTATGCCGAAAAGAGCCGTTTAATTTGCGAAGCGATCAAGCTGCGAACTACAGTACCTTGAGTTATTCGATGTAGGGATGGAACGGCGGAATAAAGGAACATCTTAAGAAGCGGGATCGGGAATATCCCAAGACGCGGAATGCTTTTTTGTATAAATTAAAAGTCTCAAAAAAGGAATTGCAATAGAACAAGAAAGTTCTCTACCATTGACAGGCGACATTAAAAGAAGAATAGCTAGTCATTGTTGGAACCCAAAGGATAGGGGAACCATGAGGATTTCGAGCTAGCCCCTTTCAATTATTATCATACAACTATTTTTTTCATTATCTTTATTGCTGATAGTATTATTTGTTACCATTTTTTTCTTTCCAGTAAATGGTTTGAACCCGGGGGTGACATGTGAAGGTGTAGTCTGATCGTCCGGGTGAGTGTAGTCCTGAGAAGGACTGTTGTCGGTGGCAGTGACTGACGTTTCGACAACCTGTGCGGAGGTCATCATCAGAGTCAAGTGAATGATTGTTGTCAGTAGAATGTTCTTATTCCAGTTCGTGTGAAATGATCGGTTGGTTTTGCCGTGATGTTATTGGCTGTAAGACTCAAGTGACGTAAGTCGGTCGTGATTGGTCTGTTTCGGTCTGTCGGTAAAGCTAGGTTGTTCTTTTTCGGTCGTTTGTGATGTTTATGTCGTGAATGAGTCGTTTGTATGGGGCGGGTAGTTGTTGACATCTGTTTAGGGGAGTCTGTTCTAAGTTAGTAAACCAGCTTTCCAGAGTCAGTCGTTGAAAATAGTCAGTGCTGTAGGTTAGGCATTGCGCAGAGTCCCAGTCAATGTTGTGGTTGGTAAGTCGATGGTGTTCAGCAATGTGATTGCTGACATCACCTTTCCTCGTCGCCCGTCTGTGTTCAGTCAGTCTTGTTGTGAGGTTTCTGCCAGTCTCACCGATGTAGGAGGCTTGGCAGTCGGAACAATTGATCTTATAAATCGTTCCCTGTCTGTTCCTCGGTTCGTCTTTGTCTTTAACGTTGGTTAGTAACTGACGTAGTGTGGTGATGGGTTTGTGGGCGACGCGGATATTGAAGGGTAGTAAGATGCGCGAGATGTTTTCAGACATGCCTTTTATGTACGGTATGGTTGCTGTAGTCGTAGGGGTTGCGGTGTCGTTTGTTTCGGTAGTGGTAGTGGGTCGGTGAGTGTTTCGTCGGATGAAGTCGTTGTTGTAGTTGTTCTTCGTAAAAACACGGTGAAGGTATTTGTTCTCGTCGGATAAGCTGTCTGTCGAGTC